CCATTTGGCGATTCCGAAGTCAAGTATTGTAGACGCGCGGAGGGATTGAGCAAAGTGACATATGTTTAATTCACTTTAAGAAAAAAAATACAAAAATATATACAAATAAATACTTGATGTAAATGCATGATTTTGAACGAGGTTGGATACCTTTCTTTATGTTGTTGCACATTAAATCATGACGGAATCTTATCGAGTACGAGTTAGACCAAGCTAGTACTCGGCGAGGGCAAAATTACCTCATATATACTTGGGCGATTAGGGAGATATCTATGCCCCCAATTTCATTCATGACTTGATTTTGGAATGATGAAACCACTCTTATTATAAGCACATGAAGGATGATTTTTTTTTTTTTTTTGCGATCCCGACATGAAATTCGAGGGCGGAGAATCTCCTTCATCATTTACGGCCTACTCGGATCCGATCCAAAAATTCTCGATCTCATTCCCGATTTCTTCGTCATGATTTAATATAAAGGATAACCTGCAAAACCAAGGGTCGGTATCGACATCAATTGGTAATGATTCGTGTCTTGATTGGGTCAACTCTAATAGATAGGATCTAGCTTTTCTATGGTTGGGCAAAGCTTGGTTAGTCCTAAAGATTTTTTAAGCCTTTAGATCGCTTAAATTACCGAGTGGGGTAATCTAGCCTTTAACCCTATGCAATAGGAGGTAGAGGAAGGTTATTCCACCATTTTCAATGTATAAGGTGAGTTTCGGTCTAAACAAGAGTCCGAAAGAGCATCAATAGACTTTCATCATACTAGCCTTCGGATCCCTCTATCTAAGTCCTATCGGGGTTTAGCTCGGGTCCAAAGCCTTTATAGGTTTCCTTCATGATGTGTGCAACAATTTTAAAAAAATATATACAACCCACCTCAAAAATAAACATGCAACGAAAAAATAAATTAAAAAAATACAAATATATACGGAAAATAAATAATATTAAAAAAATTAACAAAATAAACATAGGAGCTAAATTAAGAAACTAAACCTATGGCCTAACTCTAGTCCCTAGTGGAGTCGCCATTCTATCGCTACCCGATGTCGGACAGGACTTCCAAAAATTAAATCTATAAGTTAATTGGTGTTTACGAGTTCGAAGTCGCCACCTAGTATTCAAGGAACTAGGAACCTAAAATAGGCACTCGGTTTAGAGATTCTATGGCAATGAGTTGTTTACACTTTTGGGAAATATTTAATCACCAAAAAGTGCCCTTTTTCTAAAAAAGGTAACATGTGTGGTTTAATTCTAAATTCATCTTTTAAAATATCAAACTATTTTCTAATTTCTAAACTCTTATTTTTTTAATCACCAAAAAGTGCCCTTAAAGCCAAATTGAATTTTTAATTTTTGGGGGTGGCATTGTATTGAAACGATCGTCGATCCTCTTTGTCGGGCGACACATCGATTCAAACATCGGACCACTATAAGCCTAGAAACAACCGGTATGTCGGAGGATATCCCGATTAAAAGGTGATTTTCGGTGACATTAGTCCCTATCGGATAGGAGGCTTTGTCGAAAAATTTTAGATATTTTTTACTTTTTTTATTTTTTATATTTTTTCTTAAAAAAATTTAAAATTTTAATTAACTAAAATCAAATAAAATAAATTTTGAGAAATTAAATATATTGAAATCATCGTCTATCTCGGATAAATAGGAGACTCGTTGATCCAATATTTTAATTATATCAAAAATCACATATTAAAATAAATTTCATACCTAAGTATCGCTAGATTTTCTAACATACATAAGACTAAAAAAAAATATTACAAAAAACATAAAAAAAATCAAACGAGTCCAAAATTCACTTACACTCGTAAAATTATAAAAATGCCCCCGGAATGCCAAGAGTCACCGCCAAGTGACCATTCATCTTTCGGTGATCGTTCGGGCTCGTGAATGACCTCGACTTATAGATCCGATTGCTACGATCCAATGTTGGCGGTGGCCATCGATAACGATGTCGGAGGAGGGAGATCGGAGCCTTCAAAGATTCGACCGGATCTCTTTTCTTCACCGATAATAAATTCAACCTCTTTTCGAGATTCTAAGCACACCGGTCGACTCGCGAGGTCGAGAGACGGATGTCTCCGGTGGTCGGGACCTTCAACTCCTTCTAGATCGGCCAATTTGTTTGGGTTTATCAAAATGAGTCGGAAACGGGTCGAGTCTAATTAAATCATTTTTCGATGTCTTTGGGTCGAGATGTTTAAGTAAAAACACTCGTGGGAGATAGGTGATCAGCTCTATGGTGGTAGATCTTATGTTGGTGATCGAAATTGAGAGAAATAACCTAGTCTATTTATAGGTCGGGTCACGGACCTTTGATCTTTGATTTCTCTCTCCTCCGTGATTGGTTCTTTCTTTAACCGGTGTTGATGGATTGATCTAGTGATGGGCTACACGAGAGTGTGGTGGTTGGGGTTAAAATGAATCGAAAAATGATTAGATTGAGAGTGAAACGTTTGGTCGGGTAAACGGGTTTGGTGCACGGGTTAAGACGTGTTTGGTCTGGTCTTTTCAGTTTTTAATATATTTCTTGCGTATGTTTTTTTTTTTTTGGTTATCCGGCTACTTTTTTTCTCCCCACTGTAAACCAAAATCCGAGAGCTTTTTATAGGTCGAAACCTCCTAAAATCTCTCTCAAAATCGGTCCATTCAAATTCAAATTTCAACTATCAAATCTTAATTTTGAGATTTGATTAGCTAAAAATAAGGAGATTCCAATTCAAAAAAGATTAGTGGAAGATTTCAATAGATCTTCGAATGATTTTAAGGAGATTCATTATTTTTTATATTTTTTTCTTTTTTGTATTTTTCTTTTTATTTTTCAAATAGCCTAAAATTGGGTTATGACAATAAGTTGTTTAATCTAAACACCAAAATATTAGAAAATGAATCAAATAAAAGAATAAAGTAGAGACACAAGAACAATCACACGAGTATAAGAATTTTATATGGTTCGGCAATGGTACCTACTCCATTATTGTACTAGACTTTTTTTTATTAAGTTTTGTCAAGTGATGGCCACAAATATAAGTGATGTTATATCTATTTATAGTGTGGACAACTAGGGTTATAAGAAAAAAGCTTAACGAGCCTATATGTCTACCTTAATATTTGTAGACCTTTCGAGAGCTTCGCCTTGAGCCCTCGTAAGGAGCTCTACCCCTCGAATCCTCGCTCGCTAACCGACTAGCGAGATTGGTGTGTTGAATCTGTATAATGCCTTATACTATGAGTCTTTATCCACATTAGTCTTCACAATTTAACACAAAAAGGTGATTGCAAGTCAAGATGATAATTTTGATGAAGAATGTGTTTCTTGTTTGTCGGTTGAAAAAAAAAAATCTTTGCATTACCAGTTGAATCTTATAATGATGTGCCAATTAAAAATTAAAATATGAAATCTTTAACACATGGTCATAGAGAGTCCTCTAGTCGTTCCATAATGCCAACATCTCTTGTTTACACACTTGTAAGATTATGTTCTTGAGAAAGACAATAACATTGCTGCTGCTACTCGATGATGCAATCTATTTTGCTTTATTTATTTAATGTGATCCTATATTATACAAAGAAGCTACTATTAATGATTGTTGGGTTCATGAAATGAATGAATAAATTCAGCCCATTGAGAAAAACAAAACTTGGAACCTTACCGTTCTTTCTTAAGATAAAAAAAATCAATAGGAGTCAAATGGATATACAATACTAAGTACATATCTAATAGAGAGGTGTATCACTTCAAAGTGTTATTGGTGGCAAAAAGTTATAAATAAAAACTATGAATTGATTATTTAAAGTTTTTGCTACCGTTGTTGGACTTGAAACTATTAGTATATTTCGACAAAGTTTTTTAGCATTTTGCCATACCAATAAAACTTAGGCATAGTTTTCACTATCGTTAACTCGGTTTGGATCATTTTAAACAAAGGTAATTTTATAAAAATCCAAAACAATTAGAATTTTTTTGTTTGCATCTTCGAAAATTTAAACTATTAAAAGATTCAATACGAGGCAAACTCTTAGTGCAACCGTCGACTTCTCAATCTCTATTAGTTTGTGAGGGTGTATCGAAGACAACAACATTCGTTATGCAAAATAACTAGGAAAATTAGCAACAACAAGGAGAAAAACACGACGGCAACAATGAGAAACATGTTAACAACAACTCTAAACAATAGTTTATTACGTAGATAGATTTTGAGTTAACTTGTAATATTTAGCTCTTAAGTATTGTAACTTAGTTAGGCTTTCATTATCTATTTCTATACCCGACATTATAAATATACAAATAGTCAATACATGAAAACTAACATAAGTGAGAAGATTAAAATAGAATTTTCATACTTGTTTAATTTTAGAGAAGGTATCTCATATTAAATAAATAAACAATAGATGGTTAATATATATAAAGTTGAGAAAAAAATCACCCATCATAAGTTTTTTGGATAAAACATAGTCTCAACTATCTAACTATAAATGATATAGGAGACTCAAAGAGGCCTAACTGCTGATAAAAAATTCTAGAATTCAAATCACTTGACATACTTTAAAAGATGAGCTACAAGTGAGGAGAATATATTAAAAAAACATATTCCACACAAAATAAATAAACAATAAATAAATAAATAATGTATAGAGTTGAAATAAAATTACCAATTATGAGACTTTAAATCTTTGGAATAGAATTTAATCTAAATTATTTAATGTTATATCATATAAAAATAGAGGGATGTATTATTGCAAAGCCCAACGCCTTTTAGACCTTCCAATGAAATAAAATAAAATAAATTTATTTATATAATTATCACGTGCATTCATTTGTGTAGAAATTATACAAAAGTTTTGATGTTAAAAAAAAAAAAAAAAAACTATCGATAGTCAGCAAACAAATTTACAATTCTGTTACATGTCATATCTTGAAAAGAATATATATATCGACCATATTTTCTTTCAAAGAGCTTTTCTGAACTAATAAACCCTCAAACATAATCAATCTTGTGTTGCATAAGCTTTGGGTCTTGAAGACGATAATATAGAGTGTCAGTTCCCAGTCGGGTTATATTAACGTAATCTTGTGGAGTGTGAGCTGCCCAACCTGGAAGTAGGAGTCCATACCACCTAACCAGTATCAGCAACCAAGATTCTTTATATTCTGGCCCCTGTGTGTAAGGCAAAATGAAGCTTCTTACCAGTTCCCATACTGCATTTAGAGACCTTGGTATAGCTGCAAATGCAGATATGTAATTCTTGTTTGGTTCTTCTGAAACTATCTGCATTGAAAGGAATCATTTTCATGAACATTTTAAGCCAGCAAAACAAAAATGACTTTTAACATTATTACAAAGTTTCATGACATTTATTCAAATTAGTGTTGGTGGATTCCATATCCATAAAATTCTCTCTTTTTTTTTTTTTTTTTTCAGCTATAATAGTATTGGTATGTTGTAGCACCTACCGTGCTACTGTTGGCATGAAATGCCTTAAAAACGTACAACAATATTATAATTTCTAGAAAGGACATTATGCCATGTATTCAAAGAAATATTTCTTCTTCTTCTTCTTCTTGTTCAAAAAAAAAAAAAAAAAGAAAAAAAAAAGGAAAAGAAAAAAAAAAGGCAGCTAGGAGATTCAAAATGATGCTAAAAAGCAAATTTGTTATTGCTAGTGGCATATATAACTGTGTTTGGATGCGTTTGCTTGAAGAGGATTCAGCATGTTACCTTCCCATTATAGCAGCTATTGAAGTAGACGCATGTACCAAAATGCTTGAACAGAAATGTTGAATCATCTGTGGGCAACCTGGGAACCACATCATTACAATAGACGAACCTCAAGTACTTAAACCCGTACTTTTGCATCTGACTATCCATAAACCTCTTGAATTCCTCATCTCCAACCCTAGGCTGACCAAACGTATACACACCTTCCAATCTTTTCAATAACCATGTCTCTTCATGCATTGCTAGGACAGCTGGGAACAGAGTTGCAATTGCCCCACCCATGCTGTGACCAGTCAATATAAATTTTGTTTTTTCGTTTTGTCTCAGAAGTTCTTTCAATTTCTCTCTTATGGTGTAGTAAGCTATCGGCCGGTCATCGGCTTGTGTAAATTCTCGAGGCCAACCCTGTCGCATTATTAAGCCTAATGCTTTAATAAAGCCACCATGGATTTTTCCCATGCCAGGAAACTCATACCAGGAGATATCGAAATCAGTACACCATGCATCCGCATCAAAGACTTCTGTACCTCTAAAGGCCACGACAATTACGTCAGGGTCTGCATTTTTATTATGAAGCATGAAGCCTTGCGTTGAAAGTTTTTGTTGAAAATCTGGCAAACATATACCAAAAATCGTTATTATCTATATATTTGTGATGTAAAAAATGAAGGGTTTGCATTTGAAGGCAGGAGAAAATGGCAGTTCAAAGACGCAAGAGGAAATTAAGGAACTTATGCAAAAATGTCAGAATAAGATGATGAAGAAAGTTTTGGACAGTCATCAATGATAACAATCTATGGCAGTTTTGCCAATTTTTAGATGTTCACACAAGTAATGGACATTGCATGACTGTCGAAATTAATTTCCCAAGAAGATTGTTTCTTACCATTCCAAAAATCGTAGTATCCAAGGAGCTCCATCTGCAAAAAAATTGTGAACATCAATTTGTGGAAAGAGCAACCTGTGATGTAAACTTGATGGATAGCACTAGTTTAAGGTCTTTACGTACATGAAGTTGCAACATAAAATCTAAAAAATTTCATACCATTTACCTTCCAGTGATTTATGACTGCGTTTTCAACAAAGGCTTTGTTCTCATAAGCTATCTTAGCAGCCATTGCAGAGAGTGTACTGTAGTATCTGCTGTCATCATGCTTGATATTCTTGTCTAAATCCACACGCTTGTCCATATGTCCAATAAATGATAAGAAAGTTTCTGATTCTTTATCTGGTCTTACCACCCTACCTACAAATCATCAAATCCAGGTTTATAATCACATCTTTTTTTTGGATGATGATGAATTAATTACATCATTGATAAATTTGAACATGGAAAACGAGGAGTGAATGACATGTATAGAAGGGAACTAACCTCGTAGTGAATTTATGAAGAGCATAAAAATGTTGCGGTTACATGATATAAGGTTTAGCAACATCTCGAACCTTGACCCAAATGATGTAATTGGCCTGGCCATAGATTGCAGGATTTTTTGTGATAGCAGAGAAATAAATATAAGCCAACGACGATGGAGATTCTCCTTCTTCCCATCTGGGAAGTCCACAAATGCTTTTTTCTCTATGTCGTCGTTCCATAAGATGCGAAAGATATTCAGATAACTCACTTCTTCTGGTCGCAATACCAAATAATTACCTGAGAAATAGTTAGCAGTCATGTCTATATGTATATTTTACACGCATAGGAGCATGAACCTGCCCAATAAAATTTTATTGTCAATCCTCTGAGTGAATATTTATAGCTATTAGTATCTTTTATATTACTTTCTTGCAGCTAATATTTTCGGGTATGTGTGAGACTGACACTATGTTTGGCCTCATAACTTTATATATATATATGCGCTGGTAGCATCTATCCCTTGTACAATATTTTATTAAAACTATAGAATTTGTTGTTTACTATGTATGGATTCAACAAATGTTTTTTTCCATACAAGTGCTAGTTTAGTGATTGTGTAGCTCTTAGTTTTTTTCAATAAAATAGACTGGAGTTTCAATAATTTTAGTTTATTTAATGATTATGTTAAAAAAGTTAACATTCATTATGTAGTTAAGACGCAACGAAGCTCTCAACATAGAATAAAATAAAAAATTGCTATTTCCATACCTCACCTTGAATATTATGCACATGGCCAAGTTTTTTTTTTTTTTTTATCATTTCCAACAAAAGTTAAAGACACATCGATGGGAATAAAGGGGAGAATATTTTTCTTATTTAATGTAAGGCAAATGCACATAGGACAGATGCCATTCGTCAATTGCTTGGACGTGAAGAATTGCAGATTCTAATTTAAATTTCATCTAATAAATAAATCAGTAATTTTAAGAGAAATTTGAAATTTAAGTGTCTGACTTGTATTTTTTTTTATTTGAGTGCTCAATTATTAAATCTTTTTATTTAAGTGTTTTCGTTTTGATTTTTTTTAGTGCCTACATTTTGAAAATATTAATGTATCCGAGATAAAATGCCACATGGCCAAAATAGGTCCTACTTTAACTATTTTTCAAATAGAAAAAACAGTAATTTAAGTGTTTGTTTTATGATTATTTTTCTATTTAATTTTTTTTAGTCACGTGAAATTAGAAAATGCTGCTGATCAGATAGGTATCTATTGACACGTAACAAAAATGAATCTTACTTGGATTTATATAGAAAAAAATTACAAAAAAATTATAAAACTTTTATAACAAAAAAATTATTGGCAAGAACTGAAAAAAATAAAATTAATTATCATCAGCTAAAGTTTGGTAACAAATTTTTTAAAACACTTCCAAAATATCATCATCTAAATATTTTCTTTACCTAATCCAAGAGTTTTAAGTTTTGATTCTAAACAATAAAAGTTCATTCAACTAACAATAAATGATTTTGATTTTACTTTTTAATTCTTATCAACTATTTTCTTTTATAAAAATTTTATTATTTTTATTTTATTTTTCTCAATAAAAATCTGAATGAGACTTATTTTTTTATCATACGTCACTTAAAGACTATCATGTGTATCAAGTAGATTCTGAAAACTTTAACATTTTCCAATCTCAAGTGATTGGAAAAAAAAATCAAAGAGAAGAAAAAAAAATTCAAACATCAAACACTCAAATAGATAAAATAAAAAGTTAGATATTGAAATAAAAAAATAATAAAAAAATAAATACTGAAATTGCAATTTTTTCTTTTTTCAAGTGAGAATTTGCCACATGACATTTAAAATTTGACTAGTGTCAATTCATCCTAGACACTTCAATATTTTGGGATATGGGCACTCAAATAAATAAAACAAAACTTGAGAATTTAAATAGAAAAAATTAATGGTTGTGTAGTCAAACAAAAAATAAAAAATAAAAAATAAAAAATAAAAAATTGAGCACTCAAATAGCAGTTTTCTCATGATTTTAATAAAGTTTCTTCTTTTTTGCCATAAACATGGAAGGGAATAAGATCCCAGTCGTGTGCACGAGGGAAAACAAAGGATTCCAAACTATACCTTTCATGATTCACGTTTCTTCCATCAGAATCCAAAAATAAATAATAAACGAATTGCTAATCGGCACAATCGATGCTGAATGATTGTCGTCTCATACATGAAACCCCATTAATGCGAAATTAGCAAATACCATATCACAGGGTATTATATAGAATATGGATCATGGTAGTTTTTATTTTTTCAGCACTGGCTATCTGGTATCGGAAAAGGTATATAATGGATTTTTTCATATTTTATAAATATATATTTTTTGATATTGTAGTAGGTACGAGATTAACTGAGCTTTATGATTCTAAAACCATAGGATTGTTGTTTATTACATTTAATTCTCAGATATATCTATCCTCATTAGATGAGGGAGGGATCCATTTTACATACACAGGAATGTCTGGTTAGTTCTTGCACAAATTAATATCATGGCTACAACTTTAATTATTGGAATGCTTGTTACGTTGGACTCTGGCATCGCCAGATATAAATTTGCTGATCTCAGCCTGGTGGAGTTGACATAATCTTGGATAAGATAAGGTGGTACGCCAGGGAGTGCTAATCCAGCGACCCTAAACCCTCTCAACGCCCCACCCCACCCCCCTCGATCTCTCTCCCTCTCCCTCTTCCTCCTTGGCGTTGGAAATAGTGAAGCTTCTTATGAACTAATTAAAACAAAAGCATTAATCATTCCTTCGGAGTATGGTTCCACGTATAGAAGAGAAATTCTTGCTTGGTTCTTAATTCTGTAACCATCTGCATTAATTGAACAAAGTGAGTTTTAATTGTATATGCAGCATGAAAATGTGATTTAATTTTTTGTTTTTTTTTATCAAAATTAATTAATGAGAAGAGGATGCGTATGTATATACCTTTCCTTCATGATGCCTATTGTAGCATAGGCATGTCCCAAAGTGCTTTAACATAAGTGCCTTGTCATCATGGTGCAACCTAGGAACTATGCCGGAAAGGTAAATAACCTCGTAACATGTCATGACCTCGGGAGTTGGCCATGATCGGCGTGATGATCGAAGAGATCGTGAGGTCCACCTCGGTCCAAATAAGTCTCCGATATTAATCCAAACCTCAAATCATGATCATTCAAATTATCGTTTAAATCAACATTATCATAACTTAATAAACATTTCTTTTACAATCTCAATATAATTCATATTTCAATATCCAAAATCAGTATTCATAATCAATTCCTAATATACTACTTATAGGTATAACTATAGAGCATCTAAGATTATAATTTTAAACATACATAGGTTCTAAGGAGTTTACAAGTAAATAAGCCACACGGTCAAAGTGCGGATTTCAAATAAAATAGCTAAGAGGAAGCAATGAGCAATCCCTCAACATTATCATAACTTAATAAACATTTCTTTTACAATCTCAATACAATTCATATTTCAATATCCAAAATCGAGTATTCATAATCAACTCCTAATACACTACCCATAGCTATAATTGCAGAGCATCTAAAATTGCAATTTTAAACATGCATAGGTTCTAAGGAGTTTATAAGGAAATAAGTCTGCACGATCAAAGTACGGATTTCAAATAAAATAACCAAGAGGAAGCAATAAGCAATCCCTCAATATCTTGCAAGACCGAAATAATAAAGGGGGAGCAATCAATAGCTTAGTAAGTAAACATTATTTAATATACTAAAGGAGGGCAACAAACTTAGGAAGACATTCTCAAATTCATGTCAAAATACAATGCTTATTTCTCAAACACATGCATGTCGAAAATGCATTTTATATCACATTTAAATGGTTTAAAACCATTTCGTATCAAATCATCAAAGTATTTATACATACATATGTCATACTCGTACGAATATATATATATAGGTTTTCGCATATTTGCCGACATACTCGTCTAGCACTACACCTCTTCTACTAGATGGAGTCTCATATCATTGAGCTCAAATGCTACCACCCCGTAGCTAGGTTCCTTAGTGGTCTTGAAAACCAAACATATTTATACATTTTTAAATTGATATTTCAAATACTATGCATATATTTTCATAAATTACATGAATACTCAAAATAGCGAATATAACACGATCATGTTTAATTCCAAAAACACATATCAAACCATTCACATTTATCCAACACATTGAAATCTCTTTTCAATTCTCTTCAAATCATTTTAATATGAAAATATTTCAAATATTTAAAATGTTTGTTCCCATCTAAGTTCTACTAGAATGCTTATAAATCATTCATAAACAATGATGCATGATGCATAAATCAATAACTTTAAAACATAATATATAATATAGCATCCACTCATAGCGCAATTGAAGAACCGAATGAAAATCAAACCGAGTTGGGATGGAGTCTCTCGCTTTGAAGAATCTAGGATCACAAAATGATGAATCATCCATCGATATCACATAACAAGGAATAATTCAAATAATGAATTATTCTAGAATTAGAAATACAAGATTATTAAATAAAAAAATTGATTGGAAAGAATTAATATGATAATCTAACTAAATCCTATGATCCCTCAATTTATTCTAAATAATCATCTAATCATATTTCATTACCAATCTTTAACTTATTACTTAAATAATCAACCTTCAATCAATTAACCTTTAATTTGATTAAATGATCAATTCTATTCTAATTCATTCAATAATCACTCCATTCACCTTTAATTATACTTTTATAACTTAATTCCTCTTCTTTTTTTTCTAAAATTCTTCCCAATTAAAATCTAAATTCGGATTTATCATTATTCATCATCTTTAACCTCTTAATTTTTCAAATTCATTTGATTCCACTTCAAATTAACTTTTTATTTAACTTACGCAAGATAATTAAATATCATTCAAGTTATTACAATCATCTAGAATCATTTTTCTCCAAATAGGTCTCAAAACCCTAACCTTAATCTAATCAATTCTTCAAGCAAATTACAAACCAAAGCTACTCCAACTCAATATCATCATTAACTACACATAAAATTCACAATTTAAAGATCAATAGATAAAAAATCTTACCTTACACTATGCTCTTTAAATCCCAAATTCTTTTTAGCTCTCCAAGCTTCCTTAGCTCTAAGCTAGCTATACTCCACTTGAATTCTCTTACTTATGGTCTTCCTAAGCTAATTGAATAATGGATTAGCTTCAAAATCAAAGAGAAATTTAAGAGAAGAATTGG